ACTTGATACTTTCTAGAGCTTTATATTACTGTGTAACTCATTTAATTCTCATAAAAACTCTATGCGATAGGAATTATTGCTCTCCCCCTTTCACAAGCGAGGAAACTGAGACACAGAGAGGATATTCTTTTCAGTGGATTATTTATTGAAAGTGCTATTTTTATATTTTAAATAGAAATAGTCTGTGTTAAATAACTAGAGATGGCTATCTCATAAATGAATTTTGAAATGATTGCACTGAATCTCTTAAAAGCAGAACACTGAAGGAAGAGAGGAAGTGGGAGGGAAGGATGAAGGGAGGGAGGGAGATTTCTTCAGATTCCCTCCCTACCCTCTGGCATATGATGCCGAAAGGTGATCAGGATTCTAAGCACATACATTTTGCTCAAGAATCCCCTTTAGGAGCAAGGGGATTCCTGCTTCATTTTAAGTATCTTGAAGGAATATGAGAACTAAATGACATGGAGCTGAGAAATTTTTGAACACTAAATTTTAGGTTGCTTATCAGATTGTGTTTGGTCATGGGGAAGTCATTTAGTGACTAATCAAATGGCTACCTGGAAAGCAGATTTTGCTTACTAATAAGGGTACAATCTGGAAACAGCCTCTGAATGAGGAGCAGCCTGGTTAGGATGGCTCATCTTTGATTTTGAGAATGGCTGTAACTTTCATAACTGCCTGCCTGTCCTCAGCACCAGTCCTGCACCCCCACCCCACCCCATCTTTTTCCCGGCCATCCTGAAGTGTTTGTGCCAATTCGGAAGATAGATGATGTAGTGTGGTTGGGCAGGCTGCCTGCTATGCCCCTTAGGTGGCTGGTGACCTGAAGCAAGTGACTTTACCACTCTGCATCTCCGAGTTCTCATCATTCAATGGAGATCACGACAGTGGCTACCTCACAGGGCAGTTGTGCGGGTTAAAAGACCTTAGAACTGTGTGCGCCTTGTGGAAAGTGATGTCTAGATTTTTGCTATTATTGTTCCTTAATGGGTCTGATCTGTCTTTGCCTCTGGGCGTTTGTACGTTCTCTTCTCTTTCCATCGTCCTTCATGGGACCGACTCATTTGCTCCTCAGGCTGCAGCTCAGTGGTGGCTCTTGGTGTGGGGTGTTTTCCCACATGCCTCTAGCCCTGGTCACATCCCCTCTGTGTTGCCATCCACCTAGCAGTGACTTCTGTCAGAACCCGCACAACATAGTTTTCTACCATCAGTTTACTTGTCCACGAGGATTATGAGCCTGGGACATTTGTTTTCCTTTCTTTTCTTTTTAAATATTTTATGGTTATGAGGGAGATACTGGGTAAATGTATATCAAATTGATAAATGGACCAATATTTCCTCCCTCTCGACTTTCCCCTTCCTCCCTCTCTTCCTTCTTCTCTCCCTCTCATTCTTCTTTTCTACTTTCCTTCCTTCCTTTCTATCAAAGCTCCTCCCTCCCTTTGCTTTAACCTGGCCCTTGATGCATTTTCTTAGTTGCTCCTCACGGGAGCCCTGTGAGGCAGCTCTATGAGCAGTCCCTTTCTGCCGGGCAGTCGGCGGCTTGCCCAGCCAAAGGGGCGGTGCCTTTACAGGTTTGTCGTCCGGTGCTGCTGCCTCTGCCGAACGAATTTGGGCATTTTTCTTTGGAATTCCCTTCTGGCCAGTCTATGAACCGCATTAAGAAAACCAATTTTATTTTTTGGTCGTTCTCAGAAAAGATGATCTCCAGTCTGAGTACCTGATTCATCATATATGAAATCCAAATAAAATTGGATCATATCAGAAATCAAAGCCACTTTCAAAAGACAAAGATGTGCCATCCTTAAGAATATTTAAATGACTTGAAGAGGCACTGTCCACTTCTAGAGGCTTGTAGTGGCCACATTGCTGGGCTGAAGGCTGGTGATACTCCTGTGGACTTTGTTTTGATGTGGTTGAGAGATGGGAGGCTGGGAGAGGAAGGTTATATTACTTTTTAATCCCATCTCACATTCTTTGTGACAGCTTTGTTGAGATATAATTTATGTACCACACAATTCATCCATCTAACATGTAAAATTTAGTGGTTTTTAGTATATTTAAAAAGTTGTGCAACCAGCACCACTGTCTAATTCCATTTACATCACCCCAAGAAGAAACCCTGTACCCTTTAGTAATTCCCCTCCATTCCCCTCATTTCAACCCCCTGGCAATCATCAATTTATTTTCTGCCTATGGATTTGCTTATTCTGGACATTTCATATCGGTGGAATCATATAACATGTGGTCTTTATGACTCTTTCACATGGCATAATGTGTTCAAGGTCCATCCATGCCGCAGTGTGTATTAGTGCTTTATTGCTTTGTATGGCTAAATATTCCATCATATGGATATACCACATTCTTTTTTTTTTATCCTCACCCAAGGACATTTTTCCATTTTTTGTTCAGATAGAGTGGGAGGGAGAGAGAGAGAGAGAGAGAGAGAGAGAGAGAGAGAGAGAGAGAGAGAAACATCCATGTGAAAGGGACACATCGAGTGTTTGCTGCCCACACGACCCAACCAGGGCCGGGGACAAACTGCAGCCAAGGTACATGCCCTTAGCAGGAACTGAACCTGAGTCTCTCTGGACCGCAGGCCGACGCTCTAACCACTGAGCAAAACTGGCCAGGGCAGATATACCACATTTTATTTACTCATTCATTAGTTGACTGACATATAGGTTGTTTCCACTTTTTGGCTACTATGAATAATGCCGCTGTTGATATTTGTGCATGAATCAGCTTATGAATGGATAAATATATTGTGATATGTCCCTATAATGGAATAATATTCATCTATAAAAGAATGAAATACCTATGCATGCTACAACATGGATGGAAATGTGCTAAATGAAAGAAACCATTTATTGCATGATTTCATTGATACTGAAGGTCCAGAATAGGCAAATATATAGAGACAGAAAGTAAATTGGTGGTTGCCAGGGCCTGGGATAGGGAGGGAGATGAGGAGTTACTGCTGTAGTGTATAGGGTTTCTTTTTTGGATGAGGAAGATGTTCTAAAATGTATTGTGTTGACGGTTGTACAACTTTGTGAATATACTAAAAAACAACTGAATTTTTTACTTTATGGGGGTACATTGCATATATTATTTTTTTATTCTCACCTGAGGATATGTTTATTGATTTTTAGAGAGAGAGGAAGAGAGAGAGAGAGAGAGAGAGAGAGGGAGAGAGAGAGAAACAGCAATGTGAGAGATAAACATTGATTGGTTGCCTCCTATACACACCCCAACCAGGGATCAAACTGCAACCCAGGCATGTGCCCTGACTGGGATTCGAACCCATTTTCTTTTGGTGCATGGGACAATGCTCCAAGCAACTAAGCCACCTGGCCAGGGAAGGAGTTCATTATATTTCAGAAAAATGATTCATAATGACCATCATTAAGTGCATACCAGTTGCGTACTCCCCACCAGTACCTGTGAGGCATTGTGACGCATAAATGAGGAGGAGAGTACTTGTTCCCTGTGCTCTGAGAATTTCAGTGGACATGTGTAGAGGACCTGGAGATCCATGAAAAGTTTTATCAAGGTCATGCATCACTCAGTGCTAGTTTCTGGGTATAGGCCACACTCAGAAAGATCTCAGCATCTCTGAGCATTAGCCATAGATCTTCAGAAAAATGTTAACATGTGGCCTGCTCCCATATTTATATAACCTAGATGTGGTATTATCCATCCCTTACAATGCGGTGGGTTCCCTGAGGGCAGGAGCGCTGCCTGACCACCTTGATTCCCTGGCTTAGCGTGTCTGCTCCTCCCTCAGGCAGGAGTAGGATGTGTTTGGTGATTGAATAACTGCTGTTTCCGAAGCCTTCCTCTGGTTTGTTTCTAGGACAAAAATGCCTCAGGCTTATGGCTGCCTGCTCTGAAGAGCCTGGGGCTTGGCCCTGTGGGGACCGTGTTCCTGAATTCACCAACTGTCTGCATGGGTTTCTTTTCTCACAACTGGTGACTATTTTGTTTCTCTGGTGATTTCCCTGTGATTTTGCTTAAAATGATGACCAGGAATAATATGTGGTTACTTGTGGAACATCATGCTTTTCTCCCTGGTAATACATGCAAGACTCACGATGTCAGGGAGATTTAGGGAAAACAAAAGGTGGAATAAACCTTGCTTAAAAAAAATCACGTGTATCAAGCATCAATACGACAGCTTTTGTGTAGCTTATGGGTCTTTGCCGTAATAAGAAATTGTTTTCTTTTTCTTTCTTTTTTTCTCTGTGAAAGTACTTTATGTTGATTGAGTTCTTTCTGTTAAATATCCTTTGCTTGCACTGTTGATTTTTTGCTTCATTTTTTTCATTTCCCATGCTGTTCAGTTACTGGATGCCAGAAGAACCAAGGTTTGTCCACTCTTGCGGCTCGTTTGTTTTGCTCTGCACAGCCTCATCTCCCGTGTTTGAGTGTCTGTCTCTGTCTGCGTGTTGCCTTTTGCTTGCAGATGCAGTAATCCTGTTTACTAAACCTGTTCACAGCTTTATTTGTAAAAATAAAGTCCTTGTTTGTGTCTCCTTGTAATGGATGCTATTATTTTCATTTTTAAATGGCTATTCATTTAACATGGAAAATAATGGATAGTAGAGTAAAGAACCCCTTAGGAAACAAGGAATACTGAGTCTGGAGCATTGTGGGGCATCAAGAAGGTGTGTTTGTGAGTTTCCCTCTAACCCTTTCCACTTCCTAAATTAAAACTAGATACGTAATTTCCCTCGTGACTCACACTAATATACTGTTTCTGTGTGTGTGTACATTTCTTTTCTCCTAAGACATTGAGAAAGCATCACTGAATTAATTCCCCCTCTCCATGTGCTGTCCCATGCCTCTGAAGTCACCCTGGAGGACTTCACGGTTGGCCCTGGGGACCTCATGATTAACATTCCATCCTCATGGTGTGGCACCAGCAAATAGCACTTGGCATTTCCATTGACATTTCCCCTTCTTTCTCCTCTCCTGCTCTGCCTTTCTCATCACAGCACCTGCAGCTGACAATCCAGGCCCTTCAGGATGAGCTGCGGACCCAGAGGGACCTCAACCACCTCCTGCAGCAAGAGAGTGGTAACCGTGGAGCTGAGCACTTCACCATTGAGCTGACCGAGGAGAACTTCCGGCGCCTGCAAGCCGAGCATGACCGGCAGGCCAAGGAGCTGTTCCTCTTGAGGAAGACCTTGGAGGAAATGGAGCTGAGGATCGAAACACAGAAACAGACCCTCAATGCCCGAGACGAGTCGATTAAAAAGCTTCTCGAGATGTTACAAAGTAAAGGTTTGCCGTCCAAAAGTCTCGAGGATGACAACGAGCGGACACGGCGGGTGGCAGAGGCTGAGTCTCAAGTCAGCCACTTAGAGGTGATTTTAGATCAGAAGGAGAAGGAAAACATACATCTTAGAGAGGTAAGGACATTCACTTTATTGCCCCAAAGCTATATGTTACAAGTTAAAATATGTTACCAAGTTATTTTCACAGGTTGAAAGATATCTACTGCCTTAAAATGCCCTTTGTCCCCTGTTTTATAGCCTTCCTGTCTGCTTATCTCCTGTAAGCTGGAATTTTGCATTCTTTTTTTTCTCTGCTCACCACACATATGTTCCATTATTCTTCAACGCGTATTCAGGGCCCAAGCATGTATAGCACATGTCAGCTCTGTGGTTTACAACGGCTTTCCCACAGATGGTCGTTATTTCAGGGCCTTTTACGTACGGTACTGTTTAAGTTTTAGATGTTTACCAAGTATCGTCTCTCTAAAGGACCTGAATGAATAGGTGATCAGCAAAACAATAAACCTAGGTATTTTTTATAGCTGAATCGAAGGCAGAATTTGCAGAAAGTAAAGCATATGGATAGTTCTGGCAAGTATGGTAAAATGTGCAGAGCACTTTTGAACATTTAGATTTAAGATCATCTTTGTTTGCCTACATTCATCTAGGACAGGGTGTCCCAGGGTTCCTTTGTGTTTCGCACTTAGTGGATTAAATCATTCGAGTCTTTCCGAGGCAGCCTCTCCGGCCCGCCACCACCATTGAATGTTGGGATGCTCGTTTATCTGAGAAAATGTGGTTGGATAGAGCTTAGGTAAAAGGTGGGTGACAGCCAAGGTTTGAAATTTTTATAGCAGCTCTTTGCCACTATGGTGGGTCTGGATCTCGAAAGTACCATGCAAGCAACATGCAATGGGAGACACAAATCTCACAGAAAAGAGTAAGTAATAAAATGGCATGAGGTATATTTTCAAAATATGCTACATCAATAAATAGAAATTCCAAAAGATATTTGCTTCCGGACCAAACCAGATTTCCTGGTGTTACATACCTGCTCAGATGGGCAGCCCTTCCTACGAGTCGTTTGTTCCTTGTTCAGACACATGGCTTCCGTGTCGGGACTGACTAACACAGATGCTCCTATGCTTTCTCTGATGTAGATTGTTTTTGCTTAGAACATTTGAACAGAATTTTGTGTTTTCAGACTTAATATCTTCGGTGCTCATTCTTCCTCGTTTTGTTTTCATGAGACCTTAGCAACATGCTTGGGAAACCACATGGCTTGGTATCATGTTGAGATGCTGAAAGAGGTGTTTTGTTGGGCCTGGTCTTCCTATTCTTATTATAAGAGGGTGATTGTGGTGGGAAGACTTCTAAGATGTCCCCAATGATCCTTGCCTCTTGGAATTCATGCCCTAGTAGAATCCTCTCCCCTTGAGTAACACTAGTGACTTGCTGCTAAACAATGGAATATGGCAAAGGTACTAAGATGCCAATGACACTTCCTTGACAAGTTTATGTAAGACTGTCACTCCATCTTGTTAGCAGACTCTTTTGCCTTCTTAACTCACATGCTTTTATAAAGCAAGCTGCCAAGTGGGAGATGCCACGTGGTAAACTGAGGGCAGCCGTCAGCCAATACCCAGTGGGGAACTGAGACCCTCACTACACAGCCACAGAGAACAGATAACTGCTAACAACCACTTAGTGAGCTTGGAAGTGGATCCTTCTCCAGTTGAGCCTTCAGATGAGATGACAGATCCTGGGCTGACTCCTCGACCTTAGCTTTGTGAGCATCTGTGAAGCAGAGGACCCAGCTAAGCTGGGCCTGGCTTCCTGGTCCCCGCAGACTGTGAGATAATAAATGTGTGTTGCTTTAAGCTGCTGAATTTTGGGGTAATTTGTTACATAGCCATAGAGAGCTGATACAGTAGACCAGAAACTAATCTCTTCCTGCCTTACTCCATAGACTTTCCATTCAGTGTTTCCAACTAATTTCCCTGACCATCAGACCATTCGTGGGTAGCCCTTACCTTGGCTCATCAAGAAGGGAGAATGTGGGAAAAGTGTCTCTATATGAAAATCTTATGTGTTTTTTTTTAAAGATTTTTTATTGATTTTACAGAGAGGAGGGGAGGGGGAGAGAGAGTGAAACATTAATTTCTGCCTTCTGCACCACCACTGGGGATTGAGCCCAACATCCAGGCACGTGCCCTGACCAGGAATCAAACTGGCAGCCTTTCAGTGCACAGGATGGCACCTAACCAAATGAGCCACACCAGCCAGGGCAATATAATAATCTCATTTTAAACTTGAACTCAACAAACAAGACTTGGAGGCCTGAAAGAACCCTTTCTAAGAGATGATTGTACTATCTTGTGAGAGCCATTTGTTACATTTTCAGGAATTTATTAAGCCTTCTTTTAAACCATTAAGAACTCGGAATTGGTCACGGGGAGTAGTATTTACACTATGGGAATCAGTAAGATGCCATTCTCAGGGCCTACCCACACTCCTCCCACACGCCCCATTCCTGAAAGCCCATTTTCAACACACCTCTAAATAAATGCCATGAAATGTTTGCACACAATACAGCAAGAAGAGGAAGTTAAATAGGTCAGAATTATCAGTGCGTTAACCACATCATCCATCAAAAGTTTTTATAACAGCATCTGGATTGATGCTTATGTGTCACATTATAAAGAATGCTTTATATGATTCATATTTAATTCTTTCAGCCACCTCACCTATTCATTCATCCATCCCTTGAATGAGTACTTATGGAGGATCTGTTTTGGGATAGAGCGATGATAACTGATAACGTTTGACTTCATGGTGCTTGTATTGTATTGGGGGATGAACTAGAAGAATACAGATATCTATTTAATAGTTAAACCGAGAAGTGTCATGAAGAAAAGGAGAGGATGAAGAACTAGTAACTTGGGTTGGACCATCTTCTTATTGGGTGGTCAGGGAAGGCCTCTTGGAGGGGGTGACATTGTGAAGTGAGATCTGAGTGACGAAAAGGAACCAGCCATGCAAGGCTCTCAGAAGACTGTTGCAGTCATATGGGAAGACCCACACCCGAGAGGTAGGTGCTGTTATTTTGCCCACTTTACCTGGGGAAACTGAGGGACAAGTGATGTTTAAAAGCTTGCCCAATGTCCCACAGCTAACAAGTGGTGACGCTGGTATTCAAATCAGGCTGACGCCAGAGTCTTAGCTATTGGACCATTTCATTATATCCCTTTTCTAGAAGGATCTTTCTCAAAGTGTGCTCTGCAGAACAGCCCTTTTGTGGGATGTTGGTGTGGGTTATGAGAGAAAAAGGACTGCAGGGCCAAATAAATTTGGGAAAATGCTGGATTCCATAGAGTTTACTGCAAATGTGCGCCAGTCATTTCCGAGAAGGGTCTAGGGAAGGCAGAACATCTCACACTTATTTGACTTGCTTTTCTCTGGTTGCACTGGTGTTCTTGGTAAAGCACCTGGGAAAATGCTATGCTAGGAAAATAACAATTGTGTTTTTAATATGTGACCTGCAAAATATGTAATAATATGCAAATAGTTGTTTCCCATGGCCAAATAAGTGAGTAATTTTCTCCATTAGTTATTCTAGAAGGCAAACCTTGTAAGCTGTTTCCATATTCTCTGCTGAGTTTTAGAATGTTCTTCTGTCAAGAAATTGTTTTGGTGGTGGTTGTGGGGGATGTGGCTGACTGCCAGCAAGAATAACCCAGCTTGAATAAGGAAGTTGCCTGACCTAAGTTAATTTAAATGAATCTAAAACAGGATTTAAAATATACTTGAAGTTTTAAGTTCAGCGTGTTCCTGATTTCTTTTTCATTTTGCATGTTTTGACCCTGTTGGGGCTAAATGGTGTAATGCTGGGGACGAGAGAGCGAGTGGTTTTATGATTCATTCTTAGGCAAAGGTTTGGACCTCATATAAAGCCCATCTTCTGGAATACTGGCCTCGTTTAGCCTATTGTTCCAGGAGATTTCAAGTTGGCAGGAGCTGCACCTGGCGAGAGTTATATTGCTTTAGCGTCTGTGTTTCAGGGGTCTGGAAAAGGCTCAGGGTGATACCACTTCTGTGCCTGGCAGGAAACAACAACAGAAAGATTATGATCTCAACTTATTTGGAAGACCAAAACGATTGCCCAAGAACTACAATGGATGTGCTAATGTGAGCTGAAGTGTTGGCTGAAATGCAGCATTACTCGCTGGTGTTGTCTGATGCCTTCGGATACAGGTTGATTTGATAAGACATTGTTTGATGTAGTAATAGTTTACCTTGTTCTCCAGCTTTTTCTGCAAAGAACATATTGTTCCATGTAAAGGTTTTAGTAATCAAGTACCCCAAATACTACTGATCTCATTAAATAAAAAGTGGGTTTACACACCAGGATCCTCCTATATTCACTCTCCTTAATATATTCTTGGCTGGTCCTTGGAGGGTCCAAGAGTCTTTGGACTCATTGTACTATAAGGTGTTTGAAAGGAAGGGATATATGTTCTGCTGCCATGCTGTGGATCTCCTATGCTAATCCCCTCGGGCAGCTTGTCTTTCTTTAGTAGCAAGGGCAGAAGGGCCCTCATGTCATCGGTGGTCACATTACTATTAACTCAGCACAAGTAAAACCCCCAGGAGAATGAGCCTGGGATTCCCTCCATGCTGTGTGTGTGTGTGTGTGTGTGTGTGTGTGTGGTGGGGGTGAATGGTGCAGCAGGGAGGAGGAAGGCAAGGCAATATGAATTCTTGATCTCCTTGATTTATCCAGATTGTCCCCAGGCTAGCGGGAGATCCACCAAGGAAAGTTTGTGACCTAGAAGTTCTTGAGCTCATAAACCTTTTATGGATAGCTCAAACCTCCCCCATAAAATCTTTGCCCAAACTTCTAAACTCCACCCTAGTATCTTTTCTCAAAAAACCATATGGCTTCTTTCTAATACACACTTGTCTCCAGTTTTGCTGGATGAGCCATGATGCTGCTGATGTAGGCATTTCTAATTCTGATGCTACAGATTCAATATATTCTATTTCTTCCAGCAAAGCCTATCACAGAAAACATTCCCAAACACAAATGACTGCACAAACATAACATTTTACATACGTTCTTTCCCAAGAGTTGT